GTGTGTGTGTGTGTGTGTTTGTGTTTGGGGGGTGGGGGGGGTGGGCGCAGGGAAGGAGGATCGTGGACTTTTGAGCGACAAGATGCATTGGCGGTGGTGGCGGCCATTGTGCCAGGTGTCAGGAGCACTTGCCTGGCGCCGCCAGGGGCCACAAGGTGATCACATGACAAAGCGGGCCAAAGGCTGCAGTGCAGCTCCTTGCCCCCCCGGTCTCCCGTGCCGTTGCCCAGATTTGCTTGCAGCTCAAGCCGCTCAACAGCAACACCCCTGACACGCAGTGGAGCACGCAGCAGCCCACCGCGCACGCTCCTCCAGCCCCAGCAGCGTGCGCCGCAGCAGCAGCACCGCGGCATCCGCGCTGAGCTCCGGCCGCGCCATCGCGCATCGCAGGCAGTAGCAGGCGCGGTCGGCGCGCGCCATGACCACTGCCACGTGCGCCGGCTCGCGGCACCCCACACACGGCAGGCTTGATGGTGCGTCTGGCCCCAGCCACGCGGCCGCAACGCCCCGTGCCGCGACCTCGAGGCGCCGCGCGTGCTGCCGCCGCATGTGGCGCAGGAAGCAGCGCAGGGTCGGAGCTGCGCCCGCGCCCAACACGCCTGAACCTTGGCCCATGCTGCTGCTGCCGCCGCCCGCCTCCCCGGCGTCTGCTGCCTCCAGCAGCGCAGCCGCCTCTGTGACAAGCAGCTGCTCTGTGGGGATGATGTGGTCAAGCCCCAGGCGCCGCAGCCGCGCAGCACACTGCAGCCCAAAGGGTATCCAGTCTGCAAATGGGAGTGGGGTGGACAGGAAGGGGCCAATAACAAGTGGTAGGTAGGCTGGGTAGGGTGGGATGGTGAAAGGAGGGGTGCGTGTTTGTGCAAGCGTACGTGCGTGTGTGTGCGCCTATATCAACGAGTGCATGTGCATGTGCATGCGGGCGCACATGTGTCCTAGTTGGTACCGGGGCACCCAAGCGCTGAAGCCCCCTGCCTGCCTGGCGTTGCAAAGTTGACAGCCTCCCCGCAGTTGAAGCCGGTGCTGAAGCCGCCGTGGTAGGCGCGGGGCAGCGTCACCACGAGCTCCCCCGGCTGCTGCACTGCGCGCACGACACGCACACCTGCGGACGCGTGAACGGCGCGTGCGTGTGCGCAGTTCCCGTTTTGCCAATGTGGAAACTGGGGTGCGTGAGAGCGTGACGGCACCGACAAAAACAGGTGGCAGCACAGCATTAACAACAGCAGTGCTGCACTGGGTGCAGGCCGACCGTGCGCGTTTTGGAAGGGCCCCGCCGCCGCCTCGCCCTGCGTCCCCCTTCCTCACCCCTCTGCAGCAGCGCGCCCGGCGACACCATGGTGCTCTTCAGCAGCAGTGCGCGCAGCACGCGCGACCGCACGGCAGCTTCCGTCTCTCCGTCCGCAGACGCCGCCGCGACTGCCCCGCCGTATGAGAGGTCTGCCACCGCGTCCTCAAACGCGTCCGCGTGCGCTGCAGGCACGCCGTACCAGACCTTGGGGGCGCCCCAGTGG